TGAGATGGATACAATTTAACCTTGGTGGTTCTGTGGACCAGTCACTGAGGAAGTACAAATCTCATCTCCCATCTTCGTCAGCACTCCATGCTGTGTGACATTGTCAGAGGACACTGGGATCTTTATATAAATATCCTGAAATGCTTACCTCGGAGCCTGGACCGCCGAGCTGGGCTGCTAGACTGATCTGCTCTCTGCTACTTGTAGGGTTGTCTAATAAAGGATGCTTTGTGTCAGGACAAAAGCCACAGAAGGCCTGATCTTCTGCATCTGCCAATGCAAATTGAAACCACACAAACCAATAACTATATAAATACTTTATAAACTCAGCACAATTTTTATTGTATATAAGTAAGAAACATGCTCTGAGTATCTTACACAAGATACATAATATCCACCGTCTGTTACACTTCTTTCGACAGGACAGTCAGTGTTCACACCCACCTGGCTTAGATAAACCCACTTCTAGGGCATCAATCAGCTGTTGCCTTCGAGGGCTTTTAAGTCCTGATGCGTAGCACAGAGCAGATTTCCCATTAAAATCACAGATCCGAGGATCCCTGCAATGTAAAAAAAAGTTTAATAAATACTTCGTCAAACAAAGCGTGCTTCAATCCAAATGCCTCTGCCCCTGGTGTGTCAAATATGGCCAGGGACACCCTTACGTGTGTCTAGAGGGTCCTCTTGGAACTAATTCTGGTTAGCAATTTGGGTGAAGATAGAGATAAAAACATTGTATAAAAAACAGTCATTACTACAGCATTTTTTTGCAGGATTTTTCACTGGTGTGTGTGAAAGTAAATTTATTTTACATTTTAGGACATAATTTTTCTGATTCAGATAAAGATTTAAATTCACTTTAAAGTAACGTTGAATTCCCAACAATTCACACACTAGTGAACAACCCTTGGTGTGTTTGTTTGGTAGGTCATCTTTCACGTTGGTATATTTTATGTAAAGTTTACTTGCTGACTTAATGAAGTCCAATTAAGTTTTAATTTATTGAAACAAATGACGCTTATGATTTTTTACCTCCAACATGTTTCCCTTTAGGAGAAACAGTTCCTGTTTTGAGTCCAAATCCCTTTTTATTATTATTTTTTTTTTAAGTGAAAAAAGAAATACAATGCGGTGGAAACAGGTTTGTTATAAAATGTCGAATATGCAACACTATTTTTTTTTTTTAGACTGTAAAACGTCAATGCATAGAGAGTGCAAAACAGTGGCCTCCTGGATCTGCCCTGCGACCCGGCGCTGTCAATATGGACACTTAATACACGCATCCAGAGCGCTCATCAGGCTGAGCAGACATTGCAGACGACAAAGCGGGAAACAGCGACACGCCTCTCAGACGGACTCTCCCGTTCACATGGGAGTTGCTGCATCAAGCAAGCCTCATCTGCACGCCACCCACCCGACCCAAGACTCACAGATCAGCACAGCTCCACGCCACACAGCATTGGATGACCTCTGCACTGCTGAACAGGAGACCGTCATGCCGAACACCGCTGAAGCAGGAACCGAGCCCAGAAGCTCCATCGGAGGTGCCTGCTACGACAGACCAGGGGACATTCCAGCACTGAGCATAGGCTGAGACGCCCATTACTCAGCCCCACAGCCGGCAAGCCGTATTTCACATCGTGAGCACACACCTTCCAGCTGTCGAACTGTCTAATCTGCATGAACTGACACCTTGTTTAATGTACGACCCAGAGGGTTACAGCTCCCCTTCTCTAGCATGGGGTAACCTCCCCTAATATTACAGCTTACTGCCCAGTCACCTCTCAATACTAGGCACACTCCTATATTACTAGCCACGCTAATCTAGGTACACTTCTTGACACTGGGCTCTCCCCCATACACTAGCTCAAGGGAGGCACAGCATGAAGGCAAACAGGCAGACTCCAAGTTTCTGCTGCAGCTGAGTTACTGCATCGCAGCAGCGCCCTTCATTTCACTTTACCAATACTCTCTGCACCAATACTGACTACCAGTGTTTTTTATAATCTGTTAGACGTTCCGTTAGATCTAGATGACGCATACACTTTAAATATATAGATGACACCGAGATGCAACATAAAAATTAATCTTCAGCTATTGTTACTAATCGACAAAGAAATCCATTATGATAGACGTAGTTACCCAGCTTGTACTCAGCTTGTATTGTTAACCTAAAAAATTGTGCGTTTGATCTAAATGCTGTACAACAGTCAACTAATACGTGTTTTCAAATTGTTTACGAATACTGTTATGGTATTGATGACATGTGAAAGTTATTTCATGCACAGCAAAAATAAAGAATTAAAAAAAAAATATGATATATAATATGTGTTGGTGCAATAAAGAGGAAACATGCAAATTGTGGTTTAACACACACACAAAAAAAATACATTTTATTTTAATCTTTCTACAGTATTCTGGACGAGGTCACTGTGTTAGTACTGATACCCTTTTACTACATACAAAAAAGTAGCGTACATATCTCTGAGGAGCAAGGTATGCTAATGAAACAATATTTTGATAAACTTAAAACTATATTTACACAAATCTGACATGCTTGAATTTTTTACATTTTTAATCTATGGGCCTTTCACCTTTGTGGAGTTTTTTGCCCCTTTTCCTGATCTGTTGGTCTCACGACTTTTTGTATATGTCTAGATCTCAAACTGTCATGAATAGTGAGCCATCCCTCTCAATTCTCTCTCTAAGGTATCCTCTCCCAAACATTTTTTACTGGCCCTGAATTTATACAATTGTATAACAGAATGACAAGGACTTATGTTTTTGCTGTAATATTAAACGGACACTATAGTCACCAGAACAACTATAGCTTATTGTATTTGTTCTAATGAGTATAATTATTGCCCTCAGGCTTTTTGCAGTGTTTGCATGACAACCTAGGGATACCCCCACTGGCCACTCCTCAGATGGCTGCTAGAGGTGCTTCCTGGGGCAGTGCTGCGCAGTGTGACTGACATTCAGTTTCTCCACCCTCTACATGCAGACTGAACTTTTCTCTCAAAGTTGCATTGATTCAATACATCTCTATGAGGAGATGCTGATTGGCCAGGGCTGTATTGACTCTGCCCCTGATATGCCTCCTTGACAGTCTCTGCCAATCCTATAAAAAAGCATTGTTATTGGCTCAGAACAACACTTCTGATGATGTCAGCCAAGCAGGCAGATCAGGGGCAGAGCCAGCAGCAGCAGACTGCAATACAATTAAGATATTACTATATTAATGGGGTTAGGGATAGCAGATGGTGGTTTTAACACTATAGGGTCAGGAATACGTGCTTGTGTTCCGGACCCTATAGTGTTCCTTTTAGATCTACGCTTGACAATATCATTTATTTTTGTCTGTAAGGCGAAATGTTTAAAATAAAGATTTTACAAAAAAATTGTGAAAAATAGTAAAAAAATAATAAAAATCAAGTAGTTGGAATAAATATCTCCATCTTCATTAGTGTGAAAGCAAATATATAAAAGACTGTTCATGGAGAATGAAGATCATAGAACGCCTCTCATCCCAGGGGATTTGTTCTATTCTACAAAGGCAAGACATAATATTTTCCTAGTTATTTATAGTCATTACTCACGCGTTGTGTTTTAGAAGTTCTGCCAATATGTCTAATGGTCTATAGTCTACATTCAGTATATCAAACAGGTCTTCATCACGCACTGCTAACATTAGAGGTGTCAGACCCTGCTGATTTGGCATATTCACATCCATCGATGTCTCTGCAGACTTAAAACAGAAATACAATGCGTTTAATATTTATTGTGGTTTAACGGAGGGCACTGTAATACTGTATACATCTGTGCTGGTTCCACTCTATCCATGGTGCTGGGATATATTATTATCATAGGCATGTGACAGGTGTGCCCAGGTAACTTTTATGCCCGGATAAATTGCCCTTTCTGTCCCATGTTCAGATTATATATATACATCTGGTCACTAGTGCTAATTAATAGAATTGTGTACCTAGTTTTTTTTAAAATTAGTGTTTATTAAGTTCAGATAGCATGTTAGTCTTGGTGCACACCCGAATGTAATGTATTGCATACGCCTGCAGTTATTATTACCGGTACGATTCGTTACACTTACTAGCAGGTGCTGAACAGCTTCCAGGTCTCCTTGCCACGCTGCTTGTGTTAGCCTCAAATGAGGGAAGGAGGTCCTCGATAGAGCAGAGATAAGCTGTCTTTGGATCTCCTCCTTAGCCACATGCGCGGCTGTCTGATTACTGGCGTTGCACAGGGTTACGTCGGCACCGTGCTCCAGCAGAAATCTGACAACCTGAGTGAATTAATTGTGTTGGAAACCAACACAGACACCGTAATCAATGAAAGGTTAAAAAATTACAAATAATCTATTCTAATGGAACACTTCGGGCACCATAACAACTTCATCAAAATGTAATTGTTCTGGTGCCAGGAAGTCCCTGGTGCTTCCTTACTTTTAGGTGTTAAACTGTTCATGAATGGACCAGAAAACAAAGTCTGCTCTGCCGTGCCATTTCTCTCTGTATCCGTCCACATCCACTTTCAGAAATTCTTAGAAAGAAAGTTTCTGACTGCTGCTAGGGGGGGAGCGCTGCTGATTGGCTTAGAGTGGTCATCTTACACTCTAAGCCAAATAGTAGCTCCCCATTTACAAATTTACCAGAATATAGTTTTACTCATTCTAGTGTGAATTGTCGAGAAATAAAGGAAAATTTCAAATATTAGGCTGAACTTGAAAACATAATTGACTTTTATTGCCAATTCAGCCATCTTGCCCTAAAATTTTAAATTCACTTTGAATCCCCCAACAATTGTCATGTTAGTGAATAAAATGAAATGATCTCGTCTCCAAAATAAATTTAAATAGAAATTCACACAAATGAATAAGCTACTAGTTTGAGAAGCCATCTCTTCTTTTACCTGAACCTCTAGGTATGACAGTTCCTACAGCAAATGTGACCTCATGAAACCAATTAAAATCATCACGAACCCAGGTGTTACTATTATTATTTTTGTAGCGCCAACGTATTCTGCATCACTGTATCGTTATAGAGTTGGGATATTTTACAAGTAATTGACACACATAGGCGAAGGTGGCGCTGACGAAACAAGCTTGAAATCTAAGATGATATAGGCGGATACATATCGTTAGGTATCTGGTCATACTAACTGGTGAGGTAGTCTGACTGGGATTCAAACACAAGCTGGAATTTACCAATAATCCAAATGGAATAGTTATATTTATCATTATAACATGGATCTAATGCTGCATCTACAATCAGGGCAGCTTTGAAAAACCAAACATGAATTGAAAAAAGCTCCAGATTCCAACCCAGATATATCGTTTATACAAGGTATCTGCAATTTCTTTTGCTGCAGCTGCTGTTAGCTCCAGTCCCCATCAGCCAGGAGACCTGTGCTGGTCTATAGTGACTATATAATGTCCCAAGATAGTTTACCTCTGAGAAGTTTCCTTCGGCGGCCAGGATTAGAGCCGTATCTCCGCTCTGTGGATGCTGATAGTTTATGTACCCGGGCTCTGCATGGGAGGCAATTAGTCTCAGTCTCTCCAGGTCCCCGTTAGCGGAAGCTTCCAGGAACTCAGTCAGGGATCCCTCTGTCATCTTCAGCACCATCAGCTATAAAATGAGGATGTAAAGGCGTTTCATGGAATGCCTCCAAACCGCCGAATCCCATGTTTGAATAGTATCGTTACCATAACAGAGAGTGAGGGAAATATTTTGTATTCCTGTTTACATTTAGTTAAAGGAAAACTATAGTCACCTAAATTACTTTAGCTAAATAAAGCAGTTTTAGTGTATAGATCATTCCCCTGCAATTTCACTGCTCAATTCACTGTCATTTAGGAGTTAAATCACTTTGTTTCTGTTTATGCAGCCCTAGCCACACCTCCCCTGGCTATGATTGACAGAGCCTGCATGAAAAAAAAACTGGTTTCACTTTCAAACAGATGTAATTTACCTTAAATAATTGTATCTCAATCTCTAAATTGAACTTTAATCACATACAGGAGGCTCTTGCAGGGTCTAGCAAGCTATTAACATAGCAGGGGATAAGAAAATCTTAATTAAACAGAACTTGCAATAAAGAAAGCCTAAATAGGGCTCTCTTTACAGGAAGTGTTTATGGAAGGCTGTGCAAGTCACATGCAGGGAGGTGTGACTAGGGTTCATAAACAAAGGGATTTAACTCCTAAATGGCAGAGGATTGAGCAGTGAGGCTGCAGGGGCATGTTCTATACACCAAAACTGCTTCATTAAGCTAAAGTTGTACAGGTGACTATAGTGTCCCTTTAAGAGGACAGCTAATACTGATTTCTGCCATGTATCAGTGTCTTAGCTGTCCTTTCCTCAACACCGGCCCTCCAGATGTTGCTGAACTACAACTCTCATGATACTATGAATTAAATAGATAGGCTGAGAATCATGGGAGTTGTAGTTCGGCAACATCTGGAGGGCCAGGGTTTGGGGAAGCCTGTATCTAGAGTGTCACACTCACAACTCCTGGCAGTGTGCCCTGTATACTGCCAGGACTCCTCCTAGTATAAACCTCCATGGTTATTCACTAAAGGGGGGAATTGTCAGAAATGTTAAATTACTTCAAAGTTAATTTCACATTTTAAAAATGTAACATTTTTAAAATTGGAAAAATTCTTCAAGTTAACCACGTTTTCAGTTAGTCTATTTTGACGTATAATTTGAAATGTACCTTGACTTTCTGACAGTTCCCACTTTGTTGAATAGCCTTGTTGATGTCCTGTCTTTGTGTTGTGAATTTTTGAAGGTCAGTGACTTGTCCTTGTGCACTAGGATTGTTTTAACTTGACAGTTTGAGTATCTTTGAGATCCCGTTCTTGGCCTATCTAAAGGTTAATGTTAATTAACCTCTTTACTTACCCAGTTTTTGCATTCCTGAAGGAATATTTTTAAACCTCATTATGCTTTCTATCCCTGTCTCCCAGATCTATCCTACCAAGTGCCTTTTAGTCTATACCATGGGTCGTCAACCTGGCCCCTACTGCCCACTAGTGGGCGTTTCAGGATTCCAGGTGGGCGGTAGGGATTTTCTAATTTTGACAGATTGGGCGGGCAGACGGGCAGGTGCGAGCCGGCGGTACCCCTGCGACCGGGTACCGCCATCACCACTTGCGGCCCCGGCCCGCACGGCAAGCCGCTGGGGCCACATATGGAGGGGTCCATCGGGTGGCCCATGCTGTCAGGGCCACCTGATGGACGTGGATTGTAAGGGGGCCCGGTCAGCGCTGGGCGCTTTAACAGCGCGACCGAGCCCCCTGTGATTACATCACACGCTGGGAGGAAGTGACTGCACGTCACTCCTCACAGCTAACACTGAGAGCCGTGCAGGAGGAAGAACAGGGAGTCAGAGTGGGAACTGTGACTCCCATCCACCTGAGCCACCACTGGACCCCAGGGAAAGTCACCCTCTTGCACCTTAAAGGTAGGAAACAGGAGGGTGACTTAAATATAATGTGTGTGTTTGCTTGTGTATGTGTCTTTGTATGTATGTCTTGTGTGTGTCTGTCTGTATATATGTGTGTGTATGTATGTGTGTCTTATGTATGTGTCTTTGTATGTATGTGTGTGTCTTTGTATGTGTCTTGTGTGTGTGTGTCTGTCTGTATATATGTGTGTATGTATGTGTGTCTTGTCTTTGTATGTATGTGTTGTGTGTGTATGTGTCTTTGTATGTATGTGTGTCTTGTGTCTGTCTGTATGTGTGTATGTGTCTTTGTATGTATGTCTTATGTGTGTTTCTTTGTATGTGTGTGTCTGTATGTCTGTGTGTGTCTGTATGTATGTGTGCCTGTCTGTATGTATGTGTCTTGTCTGTGTGTATGTGTGCATGTCTGTGTGTGTCTGTATGTGTGCATGTCTGTTTGTATGTATGTGTCTTTGTATGTGTGTCTTGTGTGTGTGTGTATGTGTGTCTTGTGTGTGTGTCTGTATGTATGCATGTATGTGTGCCTGTCTGTTATAGTGGGCTATAGTAAGTGGGCTACCTAGCTCGGCGTTCCTACTGGGCATTGCTATAAGGAAGGTTAAAAAATAGAAAAAAGGAAAAAAAAAAGGTGGGGAGGGGAATTGAGGAGAGAGAGGAGGGGAGCTGACGCACAGATGAGAAATCATATTATGCGCAAACAGAGAAGTCTTCTGAATATCACCGAAAGAGGAGACCTTCGTTTGTTCCTTACGAAAATCGAACCAGATATCAAATATTTAGTCTCGCAGCATCAACCTCAAGGATCTCATTAATCACTAGTAAAGGTAATTTCGATTTACTTTATTATTTTCTCATTAAACTTTATCAAGGTAAAAACATTCTAAACATGCATTAAGTAGAAATAAAAAGATAAATGTACGTACATTTATTTTTTTTTAAAACACCCTCCTTTCTAAAAAATATTCAGCACTTGCGCGAAAACTGGTGGGCGGTAAGGAAATTTTTTCAACCAAAAAGATGCATTACTGGGCGGTAGGTAGAAAAAGGTTGACTACCACTGGTCTATACTGTGCAAGTATGGCACTCCCTGGTAATATCTCATCAGAAACTGAGCGGTCACAAAAATCGCATTGTCAAAAGGAATGTCTCTAAATTAAGTTGGTGGGTTTAGGGTAGGAATGCGTTACGGGGACTTGGGGCTATAGGAGCTGTGGGTTATGAGGAACATAGGGTTACGAATAGGGGTCTAAGGGTTAAATAAAACTTAGGTGGGTACCTGTTTTTATGTTGCAGTGGACTGTAACTCGCACAATTCTCACCCAAAACAGATGGAGGCTAAAGTAGATATTGCAACAGTGTCTGTTCACTATACATTGAGTTCATGTGGAATACTGTCTGATAATATGCAACGATTAGCAACTCAGCTGCGTATTTGTTTGTGTGTTGGGATGGCAAGAGAGTTGAAGCTCAGAAATTAACGTCTAGTCTATGTCTATTGTTTGTTGTGTCAGTGTGTGTCTCTATCTTTGGCTGTCACTCTCTATTTGTGTGTCTGTGTTTATATCCATGTTATTTTGCCTTTTGCTTGTGTGTCTGTCTCTGTCAGTCTGTTGGTCTCTCTCAGTGTGTGTATGTTTCTTAATGCCTCTTTTTTTTTGTCTGTATGTACATCTTCTGTCTTTGTGTCAGTGTGCATACCACTGTGTGTATTTATATTTCTCTGTCTAAGTGTGCGTCTCTCAAACGATACCAGGAAAACACATGGTGGCATGGAGCAAAGCGAATGTTTACTCAATAATTATCTCTGATCGGAAAACATACTAGAGTGACTAACTTATAATATACAAATTATTATGATACTAAATGTGCTTATTATACAAGCTGTATTGCATTACATATGCACAGAAATAAACTGTCAACGTTTCCATTATAATTGTATAGTGTTAATATATTGGATTATCTTGGATTACAGCTATGGGTAGTGCTATGTATCAACTCAATTCTGGGGAAACGTTGTCACAGTGTAGCAATGAGCATGACCACTCCATTGGTTTCCACGGTAACTGCACCATTTACAGAACTGTATCCAAGAATTGCTCCACATACTGAACACAACTCTCTATAGGCCTGCGTAACAGAAATATTAACTAAACTTAAACGTATTGTCCCGAAGATTCTTAACAGAAGACCTGATTCAGAGCTTTGGTTTGAAATCTCACCTGGACTTCACTTGTCGGCTACAGATGACAGATAGGGGACCAGCAGCAGGCCTCTTTGATAGAGCAAGGTGTCAGCTACCCATATCAGGGGCGATTAAACATCCAAATCTCGAATTGTATCATAGCCAAGTGTGAATAGCAAAGGCTCAAACAAGTGTGTCTGAAAAGCAAGAGCAGAGAGCCGGGGATAATGAAAGGACTCTTAGTTTACAGCAGGCTGCTAAGGCAACCAGCAGTCAGCTGAGCTTGTATGAATGTATCAGGGGAGGGAGGAAAGGGCTTGCTCAAATGGATTGTGTTATTTACACATAAATACAAGGTACACACAATGATCTCAGCTGACAAACCAGCCTCACAAGATGTGAAAATGCCTCAATGTCATATAATATACCTTTGTTAGTACGAGCAATCCATTGCAAAAGAAGAATATCATATTTATATAGTATGTTACCACTGCATTCATCTTAATAAAAATATAAAATAGAGTTTTCATTAAAAAAAACTTGACTAGAAATTATTAAATTTACACAAATTACTTTTAAAGTGACATTATAATCTTGTGTTGAAAAAAAAATGTAATGGGCAGTGTTATCAAAGCGCTGGGTATACTGCTATTGATTTATGGCTATATTTGGGTGGGGGTGCCAAGAGTTAGGGGCTGTTTAATGTTAGGAAGGACGTATGGTTAAAATCGAGGGGATTAGAATTATGGGGTATATGCCTTAACCTGGATGACAATCTAAATCAACGGCAAAAGTATTAGAGGTGGAATCAGGGGGGTTCTACAGTTTTTATAGTATATAGTATATAGTCTAAGATGTAAAGTTTGGGACTGAAAGGTAACGCATAAAAAGGAATTATCAGACAAATTATTATAAGGAAATAATAATGATCACATTGATTAACAGCCCGAGCTTAGTCCACTGACATCACTCCCCCTGGCTACAACAGCAGGGTTGTCATGGTGACAGGCTGTACGGAGCCGGAGGGTATAGGTAGCACCTGGGAGGGGGGCATCCTGCCATTGGACCCATGTTGCCTGCACGCCGTGCGTGCTGGCGACCGATTTCTTATATATACAGAACTGACATTAGCTAGACCAGAACTCTAGTTCCAGTCTGGCTAATGACGCCCCAGTGATGCTGCCAAAGCGGGTGTTAAAATCATAGCTAAACGCTGCACACACAGGCTCTTAGATCCATAATAACTTCAAATCACCGAATTGGTCGTGGTGTTTGGAGTAACCCTTTAATGGAAAGTTATAAACCCACCTGCTTGTTACCCTGATGAAACTGGACAGAGACATTGAGAAACAAGTTTAAAATGGTTTGTGGGATTCGAGAACTGACCAAACACCGTCTCAGCCTACTAATAACCTTCTTCTAACATAGAATTACTACAGCCAGAACACCCATCGATCACAGCATACACACATAGACTGACCCTGGTGTCTGAATGCCTTGACCTAACTTTATCCAAAATGGAAGCTTTAATGAGTTGGATACTCTACACACCACCACCACCACCACAGCGTATTGCGATGGGCATTGTTCATAGAAAGGCTACTTTATTCTTAGTTTTGCAAACTAAACTTCAACTCACTACTGTTGGAATTATAGTGAATAAATCCCATGGCTGAGAGCTCTGGGATAAGCAAACATAATTCTAATTCTATATTCTAATAATTCCAATGATAATTCTGATGATTCTACTAAAGGTGTGTGGGCTCTGCTCCTCAAACTCTCCAATACGTAACACAAATATCTATCAAGGTCTGATATTAGTACCTAATCCCAGAGCAGTTTAATAATGTATCACTGGATTTTCAGATTTTTTAATATGTGTGTTTTGTTTCCATATAACAGTAACCTGCCAGTACTTGCATTCAATAATGATTTATTATTAACGGTTATCGTTTTAGATTTCCACCACAAATATGTTTATGAGACCTTAGCAGATTCCAGGCAAAGAAAGCATTAGCTTGTTTGATAGAATTTCATTTTGTCAGTTAGTAATGAGATTTGGATACCTGGTAGACATAAATATACGGTAAATATAAATAAAATGTATAGACATTACAGTACCCTGATAGGTATATTCGCACTATTTCATTAACAGATCAAATCAAAACAAGTAACCAGTTGAGGGGAAAAAGTAGGAGTAGAAAAAAAAAATAATCTTTCTTTTTATATTATATATTTATTTAATATATAAATATAGATTTATTTCTTGCCTCTCCTTATTTTCCCCTTTATTGGTCACTTCTCAATTGATCTGGGAATTAAATCAACATTTTTTGGCTGTCCCCTTAGCCATCAATCATCTTTTTTCCCATTAATTATTATCAATCACTCTTTTGGAATTTGGGATTTCAGACGAATTGCAGATTGGCCAAAATTCAGACAAATCGGAATGCGTGTGAATACAGAATGTACTAATCTAGTACAAGGGCAAACCCAGAACCCATCGTGGGTGGGACTTTGAGTTTAACCCATCGTGGGTGGGACTTTGCAGTGTAACCCATCTTGTTAGTGTGTACATGTTTGAATGCAGATGTGTGTTTATGTGGAGTGCCTGTGTTTGCCTGCAGTGGTGTATTAGTATTGAGGGTTAGTGTGTGTTTGTGCAGAGGTGTGTGTGGGTTGTGTTTGCCTTCCCCTGCTTCATACTAGTCCACATCTCTCCATACCACAATATTCATTAATTTCTCCCACTTGTATCCATCTCCTCTTACCACTGCCTATAGTCCTGCTTTTCATTACTTGCAGTCGATCGTCCATAGCCTCCTTCTTCCACTTGTGCCTTGTACCCATACCCATTTCCCCTGCTTGTATCTCTCTGTCCTCACCCCATTTGATCAACCTGTCAGTCTCTACATAATCCCCTCACCTCTCCGTACTCTTGTTTCCCTCTACCCATAATCAAATTCCTTCACTTTTGCCCCTCTGCCCAATCTGCCTATACTTTCTCCCCCTACTTATGTCTGTCCATGCCATACCCCCTTGTGTTCCTTTGCAAATATCCCCCTTTCCTTACCCGAGTCTCATACCCCTTTCTTCTACTCTGTCCTAGCCCCATTTTATAAATCTGAGTCTATCTATAACCCTCCTTTCTCCAATTGTATCCTTCTGCTCACTGCCCCTACCCTGTTTGTGTAATTTTACCCATACTCTCCTTCCCCTCTTGTTTCCTCTGCTTTCACCCCTTTCTCCCAACTTCTATTATTTCCCTTCTCTTGTTCCCTCTAACCTTTTACTGGTAGCTAGTAAGTGGCATGGGAATTGGATGCTGTGTATCCTTGCTGAGAGATGTATCCTTGCACTTTCCCAGTGTTCACAGAGTCTAACTAGAGTCCTGGCGGAGTGTGTTTGCTTCCAAGTCTTTTACTCTATTACTGGTGATAGGTAGCAGAATTTGATAGAACATCGGCTTGCTGTAAAAATATTATTATTATCATTATATTTATATAAAAAATTCTGTGGCGCTTTACAATGGGTGGACAAACAAACATGTAATTGTAACCAGACAAGTTTGACGCACAGAAACAGGTTTCATGTCGCTAGCTACCATAGTCTTGTTACCTAAACCGGACAAAGACCTGAGCATCCCGAGTAGCTATAGACCGATCTTATTGATTAATCATGATATGAAAATCCTGGCTAAGATACAGGCAACAAGACTGAACCCCTTCTTAGCTACATTGGTAGACGCAGATCAAGTGGGGTTTGTGCAGGGCAGGCAGCTGTTCGAGAACACCCGAAGGAACATTTATATTATTTGGAAGCAGAAAATTACGCACACTCAGACCTTGCTGGTCTCTTTAGACGCTGAAAAAGCTTTTGACAGAGTCACGTGCACGTACCTGTTCACGCTCCTGTCCCACATGGGATTCCCCGAACAGGCAATAACTCTGATCAAAGCCATGTATACCAACGTACAAGCTCAGGTAAAAATTTCAGGCGCCCCACTGCGACCGTTCAGACTATACAATGGCACCAGACAGGGGTGCCCACTCTCCCCGCTCCTCTTTGTGCTTTCCCTGGAACCCCTGCTCCAGGCCCTTAGACGACACCCAGACATACGGGGGGCTCGGGCGGGAGGCAGGGAGTTTCTGGTTTCAGCCTATGCGGATGATGTGCTCCTGGCGCTCACTGACCCCGTCAACTCAATGAGGGCCCTGCAGGGCGTCCTGGGGGCATTTGGAGCATTGAACGCCAGTCGATAAAATATCTAGGCATTAAGCTGAAAGCAGCCCCTGACCAACTTTATTCACAGAACTATACGCCTCTCCTGAAGCAGCTTATCAGGGAACTAGAGACCTGGACCGATAGACCCATTTCCTGGATAGGGAGGATTCACGCGGTCAAAATGAATGTCCTACCCAGGATATTATTTTATTTCCAGTCTCTGCCCATTCAGCTGGCGCCCTTGCAACAAGCCATAGGAAAGTTCGTGTGGCATAATAAACGCCACAGGATCTCGAGGCAGGTATTGCACAGGCCAAAAAACAGAGGCGGACTAGGCTTACCTAACCTATACGGATACTACTTGGTGACACAACTGTCGCAAATAGCATTATGGCATTCTCCACCTGGAGAGAGGAGGTGGGTAGATCTGGAGTCACTGATGGTGGGGGCGGACATTCCACAGCTACTTATATGGGTCCCCAAAGAACATAGACCAATCATTAGATCGACTTGCCCAGCTATCCTAAACTCTATACATATTTGGGATAGAGCTCAACGGCGACACGGGCTGGCATCAGCCCCATCACCTCTGATGCCGTACCTACGAAACAGAGCATTCCCTCCGGGCATGGCAGCGCGCAACTTTAGGAATCTAGAGAGACTAGGTCTGCAGCGCATACATCAGCTAGTGCAGGATGCAGAGGTAGTGACTTTCGACGCCTTACAACAAAGGGGGCATCTCACTCCCGCAGACTTTTTCAGGTACCTACAAATAAAAGATTTTGCTAAACTGACATGGGTCCGAGCGGCGGCCCAAAAGCCCTTGACATTCTTTGAACAAATTTGCTTTCAGGACCATATGCCTAGGGGCCTGATAACTCGGCTGTATGCCCACCTCTGCTCGGTGCCTAACGACGAGGGAGGGCTGGCGTACATGGACCATTGGGAGAGGGACCTAGGGGACCAGCTAGAAGGGATAGAATGGCAGGAGATTTGGGAAGCCAACCACAAATCCTCTGTGTGCGTAGCGTTCCAGGAGCAAGCGATCAAGACGATGCTCCGCTGGTACACAACGCCTGTAAAACTGTATCAAATGAAGACGAGCACTACGGATGTATGTTGGAGAGGGTGCGGAATTAAAGGGACGTATATCCACATGTGGTGGGAATGCCCACTGATAGCAAACTTCTGGCACCAAATTAAGGACCTACTAACCCAGGTCCTGAACAGAGCTCCCCCCCTAGACCTGTGGGTATATTTGCTTAGCAGAAAGATAGATGGGTGGTCTAGAAACGAGCAAAAACTTATACACAACATAACTTTAGCAGCTAGAAGAGCAGTGGCAGCGGACTGGCTAAAACAAACCACCCCACAGATGGCAGCAGTCGTCAATAGAATTAAGGAAGTCCACCTGATGGACGATCTGACAGCAAGAGTCAGGGGCACCCAAAAACGGTTCCAGAAAATATGGTCTCCTTGGGAAGACAGCCCCTTGAGCTGAACCACCTGGCAGGTTTTCTTCTCTTTAGGCTCCACTGGTCAGGAACCTCATCGGACGATGCCCCTCGAAATCCCCCCCCCCCTTTATACCTTTCCCACTTCTCTTTCTCTAACTCTGTTAACTAGATATCACAGTGATAAACATGACAGTCTACAGCGTGTCATATTCGTGAGTTTTGTTATAAATAAAATGTACGTGGCAGGGGGTAAAGCTGCGAAGTTTTATTCCTCCATATAATGGAGGCTTATGTTATGGAAGACAGGAGGTACCCTGTTTTACAATGTATGTGTTAATCTCCTGCAAACTGTGCAATGCTCTCGAGTTGTACATGTTATCTTTGTCAACATAAATAAAGAATTAAAAACAGAGGGGTTTAGGGCCCTGCTCAATGCGCTTACATGCTAGTGGGAGTGGGATAAAGTGACACAAAAGGTAAGGGAAGTAGATTGGTAGAATAGTATCCAATGAAGACTTAGTGTGGGGTTTTGGAGCCATTAACAGTTTAAGTTTTAAAATGGATGCAGTGGGATATGGTGATCGACTGGACATGAGGGGTGAAGGAGAGGTCAGATTCAAAGAGAACACCTAGGCAGCGAGCCTGCATGGTGGAGCTGATGGTAGCACCATTAACATGGAGGGAGGGAGACACAGGAGTAGCAACACTTTTGGGAGGAAAGACCAGAAGTTCTGTTTTGGACAAGTTGAGTTTAAGGAAGTGGGCAGCCATCCAGTTAGAAATAGCAGAGAGGCAGTCAGAGACACTAGTCAAGAGGGGCTGGGAGAGATCAGGGAAGGATAGATAGATTTGCATGTCATCCGCATAGAAATGATATTGGAAGCCAAAGGTGATGATGAGTTTACCAAAGGGGGCAGTATAGATGGAGAACAGTAGGGGACCAAGGACTGTACCTTGGTCGACACCAACAGAGAGAGGTTGGGAGGAAGAGGCAGAGCCAGAGAAAGTGACACTAAAAGAGCACTGGGTGAGGTAGGAGAAGCACCATGAGAGAGAAATATCTCGTAGAGATTACAGAGGATGAGAAGAAGCTGTTTATGATCAACAGTATCAAAAGAAGCGGAAAGGTCAAGGAGAATTAGGATAGAGATGTGACCATGAGATTTTGCAGCAAATAGATCGTTTGATACTTTGGTCAGAGCCGTTTCCACAGAGTGCTGAAACCAGACTGAAGTGGGTCGAGCAGAGAACTGCACTCGAGGAAGTCTGTCAATCTCACATACACAAGTCTTTAAGGATCTTGGACGCAAAAGGCAGTAGTGAGATAGGGCGGTAGTTGGACGGGGAGTTAGGGTGAAGGTTGGGCTTTTTTAGAATCGGGGTTACAGTTGCATGTTTGAAGGGTAATGGAAATATGCCAGAGGAGAGGGAGAAATTGAGAATTTTAGTGAGAGGCAAAGCAAGAGAAGGAGACAGAGTATGGATGAGATGTGAGGGAATAGGATCAAGGGAGCAGGTGGTGGGGTGGGAGGACTGGAGCACATCAGAAACCTCTTCCGCTGTAACGGGTGTGAATGGAGCAGGAGAGGGAGTGAGGTTGGGGGAAATATTGTAAGGGGAAGGAGAGAGATGATAAATCTCTTCCCTGATTGTAGAGTTCTTGTCAGTGAAGTAAGTTGCAAAGTTTGTGGCAGTTAAGTCAGTAGGAGGAGGAGGAGGAGCAACAGACGAAAAAGAGAGTTTAATGTGTGAAATAGACGTTTGGGTTTGCAGGAGAGTGTGGTTATGAGGGTATTGAAGTAATTTACTTTTGCAGAGGAAAGAGCCAAGTTGTAAGAGCACAGCATAAATTTATAGTAGAGAAAGTCAGATGCAGAGTGAGACTTTCTCCAGCAGAGTTCAGCAGTTCTGGAGCATTTTTGGAGTTATCGAGTCAGCTTGGTGTGCCGAGGTTGTAGTTGGGGGTGCTTGGTGCATTTAAGTGTAGGAGGTGCTATGATGTCTAGTTGAGAGGAGATGGTGGAATTGTAGAAGGAGATTGCAGAGCTAGGGCAGGTGAGGTTTGAGATAGGTAAAAGGAGAGTTTGGAGGTTAGTGGAGAAGTGCTCTAGGTCAAGACATTGGAGTTTTCTGTGATATTGATGTGCATAGGGTGGTGTCAGTTGGGTCCTGGGTATGCCGATGTGAAAAGTCTGCAGATGGTGGTAAAAGGAATTTTGGAGAGATTAGAGGCGGTACAGAGGTTGGTGAAGGCGCGATCAAGAGTGTTTCCCGCTGTATGGGTTGCTAAGTTGGACCATTGCGTAAGGCCAAAGGAGGAGGTTATAGAGAGCAGACGAGATGCATCAGTGCAGTTGGGGTTATTGACATATAACAAAGTACCGGTGCCCCTTTTTCTCAAGTTGTGGTGAGGCCTGGTGGTTGGGGGGGGGGGGCACTTGCCCTGGTACCCCTCCAAATCCGCCCCATATCTAGTATCAGCTCATGTTTTTTATTTTGGGATTTTATTGCATTATGACAAGACCATAAAAATCCAGGAAACAATTTGTAAAATCCCCTGCCTTGTATAATTGTAGCCATTTCCTTCTGGTGATTTATAGATCTGTTATTGTGAGATGTGAGTAGAATGGATTACTTTCACCGTTGCACGCCAATCTTGTTGTCTCCAAAAGTCTCTGCAAACAGACTACTGAGGTCATTGCTAATAACCCTGTGTTTTGCTCTGTGTGCTATGGAGATTGACACAACTGCAATTTGCAAGAATACCGAACCATTGCAGTTATTTAACTGCATTGAGCTAGCAACCAACTTGTAAATAACTTGTAAACATATCGATATTATAGCCATATCCTTCAATTTCTGGAATGAACTACATGTGGACAAAGTTATACTCTGCAGAGTGTTGTTGGTTGTTGTTCATCATTTACATTGATGTAATACATTGTTATTTTTCTTAATTCTTTATTTTGACATGCAGTGAGATTTCACAAGAGCATTAATATGTCAGAGGTTAACCTGCGCAGAGGTATAATATTCATCATAAGCAAAATATAAGATATATTTTCAACACATAGGTAAACACACTCAATAGCAGTTAAGAGGTGTGCTGAGGAATAAAGGACTGCACATTTTATTTACGAGGAAGTAGGACATTGACTCAAACTCAAGAATTGATAAATAGAGGAAGGAACTAGAGGTACTTAACAGGTTGCTATCAATTCCGTAAGTTGAGATGATTATTACATAGAAAATAAGCTCAGTGTCTCAGAGAAGACAGAGCGCCGTGCCCGCTGGATAACATCTGCATTGCGGAGATAGTTGAGTGAGAAGGAAACATAGCGTTAGCAATCCAGGCAAAGGTTGATACATATCAGTCAGTGGAGTGTAAATATGACAATAACTGAAATGCACACCATAAATAGGAAATTACAGGCAGTTCACCCTATACCAATACTTGGCTTCTGACGTCCTTGGTTAGTGAGGGTCCCAGTGACCCAGAACTGTCCACTCGGTCTGCCCCGGGCTTGAGTGGGAGCACATTGTCGGTTCCCGCTGGTCGGGCAGCATATAGTTTTGTTACTGATGTCCCGGCGTGCTTTAGTGCTGGCTTGGTCTTGAAGTTTCTCCCCCCGGGGGGGTATGGGACATGCACAGGGGTATTCCCCCTCACTGCACTCAGCCCAGGATTGCAGTGGTGAGCTTTGGTCACCCTCTGGCTCCGGTAAGTGCCAAGGGGTCGTTTGGGCTGCCTCCACAGGTGCGAGTTACGCGGTGTGGAGATGATTTGCCTGAAGAGCTTGGGCATGGATCGGTGATTATCAGGTGAGCATTGCAGTGAGCTGTCACCCTGCTTGCTCTCCACACATTGCTTGTGCCTGTCAGCTATTTTGAGCCAAAAGTTGGCAAAGATTTCATCCAGGCGCCTCATAGATGTGTCCCATATGCAATCACGCGGTGTGCCCGCCATTTTAGCCGTGGCTGTTAGGATGGCCTCAGAGTACCGGGGCTTTTGCAGGGTCACAGAGGCCCTCTTAGTTTGAAGTACCAAAGAGCAAGTGCCGGGGTATCCCTCACGGCAGGGGGGGGACGGGAATCCCATCCACCTCTCTGCGCCCTAGCAGGATGATCAGCAGGGAGATCGGCCGTTTCTTTCCAGCTGCTCCCTCAGGTAGGCCTCAGAGATGCTTCGGGGTAAGACCACTAGTCGAGCGGCTAAACGCCTCAAAATGTATCTCGGACAACAGGAGTATGTCAAGTTTTCTCGAGTGATGGGTCGGTTTATTTGCTCATTTCTATAATTTTGCAGAGAGCTCTTATTAAGTGCGACCGTTCAGTATGGCGGTCAGGCCCCGCCCATACATTGTTATTTTACCAGCAGAAATGTCAAACTCTTGAAGGCAACTCTTTCAGGTAGTTGAAAGCATTGAAAATTGGCATTGTTTGCAAGTGTCACTTCGAAAAAATCCTGTGCTGTGGTGAAATGCGTTAGTGTTACTATTACACACTTTTAAAAAACTTTATTTGTACTTAAATAAAGATAGATATTATTCTCAAGATCCATCGACCGTCATGTTTCATTCTAAATATCTTCTGGACTCGATTTTCCATGGTGGGAAATGTACCATCTAAATCCAATATGTAGCAAACCCTACATATCCTTAAGTGGCTATTGTACCAAGTGTATCAAATCAAAGCTACTATATAGCTCCATACCTTGTAAGTGCATCTCTTTCTTTACCATAAAATCTGGTGAGAAAGCTCAGTTGGTAAATGCCCTGACTGCAAAGCCTGTTCAACAACAAGATCACAGGTTCAGACCTTCATCCGTCTGAGGTTGATAAAGGAGTACCATTAGTTGGGTAACAATACCATCTATTATTCAGCTGCCGTTTGGTTAATTCCAGGAGCGTGCGCTAATAAGCGCTTTAAGTCCCACTGGGAGAAAGGCGCAATATTAATGGTAATTATTATATTCCATTTAATCTATATTCTACACTATATTATCCTCCATTGTACCATTCTTCTTGTTCCATATACCATCTGAACATATCAAGGCGCTACTCCCACCAATCGTTTGGATTGGGCTAGAATTTCAATGTCATTCCAATGAAGTCAGCATCAGTATTTAATAAAGATTATATCATATGAAATTCTGAGAAGTAAAAGAACCACTTTAAAGTGGCTCTGTCATTGTCTGGGGTCTTTGCAACTGTGACATCACTGCTGGGGGTCCGGTGGCCATGGGAAGGTAGGTTTAACTTATCTGAACCTGTCCTTCGTGATCGCTGCCATCCTCTTCCGTCCTGTCCTCTCCAGGTCCTGGTTCTTCAGCTGCCAAGACCCGAGGTCAGCGCTGCACTCTTACACATCTTAAACAGTTTGTTTCCCTACAGTCGTCACTGGTGATGGATGGCGGGGGTGGGGGGGAAAGGACCAGCTTGACAAAAGGTAGCTCAAGCTTGTCAAGGGTAGGGAATATATAAATAACCTGTAGCCCCTACTTTGTCTCAGTATATCTTTCGACTGGGTCAGAATTTCTGTGAATTTGATTTGATGTGTAGATCCATTTAATAGCCCTCTGTAGTCAATGGCTAGTCTAGCATTTGTTGTACTATTTGTTTCCTTATTAAAAAAGGACTTGTTATAACAAACACCGAGTTCAGGGTACAGTTTATTTGATAATTTATTAATGTGAATATGAGGTCAGTATTTAGTCACATTTCAATATAATATTTATAGGATATAACTGAGGACAAGTTATAATCTGACGTTTTGATTTAATTATTTATATCATGTAATGTGTACTTTGTTTCAAATTAAATTCTCACAAAACAGCGATTTCTGGAGCACCATCTTCCCATACACTGTGATAACATATTATATATCACTATAATAACATAACATATTGCATATCACTGTAATAATACATTACATATTACATATCACTGTAATAACATATTACATATCTCTGTGATAACATTATATATTGTATATCTCTGTAATAATAACATATTACATTTCTCTGTGATAATAACATATTACATATCTCTGTGATAATGACATATTACAGAAATCACTGTGATAATAATATATTACATATCTCTGTGATAATAACATATTGTATATCTCTGTGATAATATATTACATATTACATATCTCTGTGATAGTATATTACATATTACATATCTCTGTGATAATAACATGTATATTGTATATCTCTGTGATAATATATTACATATCTCTGTGATAATAACATATTATATATTGTATATCTCTGTGATAATATATTACATATTACATATCACTGTGATAACATATTACATATTGATATCTCTTTGATTATATATTACGTATTACATTTCTCTGTGATAACATATTATATATTGTATATCTCTGTGATAATATATTACATATTACATATCTCTGTGATAACATATTATATATTGTATATCTCTGTGATAATATATTACATATCTCTTTGATAATAACATATTATATATTGTATATCTCTGTGATAATATATTACATATTACATATATCTGTGATAACATATTATATATTGTATATCTCTGTGATAATATATTTCATATCTCTTTGATAATAACATATTATATATTGTATATCTCTGTGATAATATATTACATATCTCTTTGATAATAACATATTATATATTGTATATCTCTGTGATAATATATTACATATCTCTGTGATAACATATTATATATTGTATATCTCTGTGATAATATATTACATATCACTGTGATAATAACATATTATAGATAGTATATCTCTGTGATAATAACATATTACATATTACATATCACTGTGATAATAATAACATATTATATATTATATATCTCTGTGATAATATATTACATATTACATATCACTGTGATAATAACATATTATATATTATATATCTCTGTGATAATATATTACATATCACTGTGATAACATATTATATATTGATATCTCTTTGATTATATATTACGTATTACATTTCTCTGTGATAATAACATATTATATATTGTATATCTCTGATAATATATTACATATTACATATCTCTGTGATAACATATTATATATTGTATATCTCTGTGATAATATATTACATATCTCTTTGATAATAACATATTATATATTGTATATCTCTGTGATAATATATTACATATCTCTTTGATAATAACATATTATATATTGTATATCTCTGTGATAATATATTACATATCTCTTTGATAATAACATATTATATATTGTATATCTCTGTGATAATATATTACATATTACATATCACTGTGATAACATATTATATATTGATATCTCTTTGATTATATATTACGTATTACATTTCTCTGTGATAACATATTATATATTGTATATCTCTGTGATAATATATTACATATTACATATCTCTGTGATAACATATTATATATTGTATATCTCTGTGATAATATATTACATATCTCTTTGATAATAACATATTATATATTGTATATCTCTGTGATAATATATTACATTATACATATATCTGTGATAACATATTATATATTGTATATCTCTGTGATAATATATTTCATATCTCTTTGATAATAACATATTATATATTGTATATCTCTGTGATAATATATTACATATCTCTTTGATAATAACATATTATATATTGTATATCTCTGTGATAATATATTACATATCTCTGTGATAACATATTATATATTGTATATCTCTGTGATAATATATTACATATCACTGTGATAATAACATATTATAGATAGTATATCTCTGTGATAATAACATATTACATATTACATATCACTGTGATAATAATAATAACATATTATATATTATATATCTCTGTGATAATATATTACATATCACTGTGATAATAACATATTATATATTATATATCTCTGTGATAATATATTACATATCACTGTGATAACATATTATATATTGATATCTCTTTGATTATATATTACGTATTACATTTCTCTGTGATAATAACATATTATATATTGTATATCTCTGATAATATATTACATATTACATATCTCTGTGATAACATATTATATATTGTATATCTCTGTGATAATATATTACATATCTCTTTGATAATAACATATTATATATTGTATATCTCTGTGATAATATATTACATATCTCTTTGATAATAACATATTATATATTGTATATCTCTGTGATAATATATTACATATCTCTTTGATAATAACATATTATATATTGTATATCTCTGTGCTAATATATTACATATCTCTGTGATAACATATTATAGATAGTATATCTCTGTGATAATAACATATTACATATCACTGTGATAATAACATATTACATATCTCTGTGATAATATATTACATATTACATATCACTGTGATAATAACATATTATATATTATATATCTCCGTGATAATATATTACATATTACATATCACTGTGATAATAACATATTATATATTATATATCTCTGTGATAATATATTACATAGCTCTGTGATAATAACATATTATATATTGTATATCTCTGTGATAATATATTACATATTACATATCACTGTGATAATAACATATTATATATTATATATCTCTGTGATAATATATTACATATCACTGTGATAATAACATATTATATATTATATATCTCTGTGATAATATATTACATATCATTGTGATAACATATTATATATTATATATCTCTGTGATAATATATTACATATTACATATCACTGTGATAATAACATATTATATATTATATATCTCTGTGATAATATATTACATATTACATACCTCTGTGATAATAACATATATATTGTATAGCTCTGTGATAATATATTACATATTACATATCACTGTGATAATAACATATTATAGATAGTATATCTCTGTGATAATATATTACATATTACATATCACTGTGATAATAACATATTATAGATAGTATATCTCTGTGATAATATATTACATATCATTGTGATAATAACATATTATATATTATATATCTCTGTGATAATATATTACATATTACATATCACTGTGATAATAACATATTATATATTGTATATCTCTGTGATAATATATTACATATTACATACCTCTGTGATAATAACATATTATAGATAGTATATCTCTGTGATAATATATTACATATCTCTGTGATAATAACATATTATATATTGTATATCTCTGTGATAATATATTACATATTACATATCACTGTGATAATAACATATAGATAGTATATCTCTGTGATAATATATTACATATTACATATCACTGTGATAATAACATATTATAGATAGTATATCTCTGTGATAATATATTACATATTACATATCACTGTGATAATAACATATTATAGATAGTATATCTCTGTGATAA